GGACAATTTAGATTTACGGAAAATTTGAGGAGAAAGTATGGAGAGTTCCATGTAGCCACCTCACTGTGGATGCATAATATCCCTTGTTATAAACATTTTAATGTTTTTATTGATTTCAGAGAGAGGAAGGGAGAGTGAGAGAGAGAGACATCAATGATGAGAGAGAATCATCAATCGGCTGCCTCCTACACCCGCCCACCAGGGATCGAGCCCGAAACCCGGGCATGTGCCCTGACCGGGAAGCACACCAGGGACCTCTTGGTGCATGGGTCGACACTCAACCACGGAGCCACACCGGCCGGGCTCCCTTGTTATTTGCACGTATTATTAGTGTGTTGCAACAATTGGTGAATTGATATGAATACACTATTAACTAAAATTCATAGTTTAGGTTAGGATGGAGCCTTGGTGTTGTGCATTCTGGGGGTTTTGACTAATATATGACAGTGTGACTACTGTGGTCTCCGCCGTTACAGTTGTACAGCAGAGAGTGACTGCCCCACCGATCATCCGTGCACCGCTCCTCCACCCTCCCTTCCCACAGCCCCTGGCAACCACTGATCTCGATACTGTCTGTAGAGCTTTGCCTTTTCTAAAACGCCATCTAGTTGGAAGCATGAGTACAGAGCCTTTCCAGGTTGGTCTCTCTCACTTAGAATATGCATTTATGGTTCATTCAGGTCTTTTCGTGGCTTGATAGCACATTTCTTTTTAAGTGCTGAATAAGGTCTCATTATATGGATGTACTATAGTATTTTGTTCCATTCACTTACTGAGAGGCGTCTCGGTTGCTTACACTCTTGGGTGATTATGAATGAAGCTGCTCTAGAGATATGTGTGCATGTTTATATTTACTCAGTTGGGTAAATATCAATTGGGATTGTATGGTAATACTATGTTGAGCTTGTGAGAAGCTGCCAAACTATCTTCCAGAGATTGTATTATTTTGCATTCCCACCAGCAAACCAGTGGGATTCTGCAGTCTTTTAGCATTTAGTGATGTCAGTTCTTTTGGATTTTTAAAAAAAATATATTTTATTGAGTTTTTACAGAGAGGAAGGGAGAGAGATAGAAAGTTAGAAACATCGATCAGCGTCCTCCTGCACACTCCCCACTGGGGATGTGTCTGCAACCAAGGTACATGCCCTTGACCAGTATCGAACCTGGGACCCTTCAGTCCGCAGGCCGATGCTCTATCCACTGAGCCAAACCAGTTATGGCTGGATTTTTTAAAAAAATATATATTTTATTGATTTTTTAAAGAGAGGAAGGGAGAGGGATATAGAGTTAGAAACATCCATGAGAGAGAAGCATTGATCAGCTGCCTTCTGCACAACCCCTACTGGGGATGTGCCTGCAACCAACGTACATGCCCTTGACCGGAATTGAACCTGGGACCCTTTAGTCCGCAGGCCAATGCTCTATCCACTGAGCCAAACCAGTCAGGGCAGCTCTTTTGGATTTTAGCCAAAACAGTAATAGGTGTGTAGTACACATAGTTGTTTTACTGTGCAATTCCTTAATGACATAAGAAGTGGAGCCTCTTTTCATGTGCTTATTTGCCATTCACTTATCTTTTTGGCAAGATGTCTGTTCAGATAGCTTGCTCATTTTTTAATTGGGTTGTTTGTTTTCTTATTGCTGAGTTTGGAGAGTTTTAAAAAAATATATTTTAGATCCAAGTTCTTTATCAGATACATCTTTTGTAAATATTTTCTCTTCATTTTCTTAGCTGTCTTTTGCAGAGCAGAAGTTTTGAATTTTAATAAGGTCTACCAGTGTTCTTTTTTTTTTTTATGGACTGTGCTTTTGTTGTATCTAAAGGCGCATCATCAAACCCAAGGCCACCTAAACTTACTCCTATGTTATATTCTAAAATTTTATTATTTGCCTTTGATATTTATATCTAAGATCCATTTTGAATTAATTATTGTAAAAGATATAATAAGTGTCCAGATTCCTTTTTTGTTGTTGTTGTTAATCCTCAGTTGAGGATATTTCTCCCCCATTGATTTTAAGAGAGACTGGAAAGGAGGTGGGGGGTGGGAGGGAGAGAGAGAGAGAGAGAGAGAGAGATGTGAGAGAGGCACATCGATTGGTTGCTGTCTACATGCACCCTGACTAGGGCCAGGGATGCAACCCAGACACGTGCTCTTGACCGGAAATTGAACCCATGACCCTTCTGTGCACTGGCTGACACTCTAATTAGCCATAGCAGCAGGGCGCTTTTTTTTTTGCATATCAATGTCCACTTTGTTCCAGCACCATTTGCCAATACTATTCTGTCTTGATTCCTGTAGGTTTACAGGAAATCTTGAAGTCAGGTAGTGTCAGTCCTCTTACTTTATTTTTCTTCAGAATTGTGTTGGCTATTTTAGGTCTTTCCATATAAACTTTAGAACCAGTTTGTAGATACTTATAAAATAGCCTTCTGGGATTCTGATTGAGATGGCATTGACTCTATAGCTCAAGCTGAGGAGGGCAAACATCGAAATAATACTGAGTCTTCCTATCCATGAACATGGACTACTTCTCCACTTAGCAGGAGAAAAACGCACCAGGTGTTAGACCGATGGAGTCAGAAGGGATCTGGGTTCGGCAATCTCGGTACTTGAGTTCTGGCTAAGAAAAAATCAGAGCCAGGATTCAAACTAAAAGAGAAAGTTAGGAAGTCAGAGGTAGAAGAAGTGAGCCGTAGAAGAAGTGGGCTCGAGAGATATCTGTAATACAATCGGCAATAAAAAAATCTATTTAAAAAGAAAAGAAAAAAAAATAAATGGGCTCAGGAAACACGTGACAGAGGCAAAAGAAGGGCCCGTGGAACTTCGGGGAAAGAGAGAGTCCAGGAAAGCGCTCCTGGAGGAAGGGGTGGGGAGAGGTGTGGGCGTGCTACAGTGAGAGCCACACCAGGTCCTCCATCCCTCGGGCTTGTATCTGAGGTGTCAGGGGAGGATCTCAATAGAATATTCATCATCTTTCCCGTCTGTCGCTCAGGGCTGGTGTGTGGCTCAGGGTGGTGGTCCCCACCGATTGCTCAGTACCCGGGAAGGGGGTTCTTAGTCATTGCCGCTGGTCCTGATGTCGGCCATGGCATTATTCCACCTGGTTTTGCTGCTTTTCTGAGCCTGGAGCTGAAGCACAGCTGAGGCCTAGATGTGGTCCTGCCTTACGGGAGTAGTTTTGCCCATTGCTAGGCACCCAGGACTCTCCCCCTGGGGGCCCTCTGCACCTG